GACCCGGCGCTGTTTTGCTTTTGTGAGAAATTGGAGGCGGAGAAGGCGTATGAGGTGGAGGAGCATATGGGTATGGTGGGGGTGAGCTTGGAGGAGCCGGAGATTGCGGCGTTGCTGAAGGTGAGTGCGGAGACAGGGAATGGGGAGAGGGTTTATGGTTATTTGCATAAGTTGAGGAATGTAGTGAGGTGTGTTGGGGAATCAACGGCTAAGATCATTGAGTTGGGTGGAGTGGCTTGTGAGCTGGGTGAAGCGAATTGGATTCGGGTGGGGTGAAAGAGGCGGTTTTGAGGAATGGAGGAGGGTGGCATGGGCAGGGATGCATTGGGAAGGGGGTTTGGGATGTGAGGAGAGCCAATGCGGATATGAGCAGCAGCCAGTGTTGCTCTTGTGGTGAGCGTTTGGTTTGTGTTGACATTGATTGTGGGGAGACCCAGAGGTTTGCGGAGTCGGTTGCTGCTTTGGCAATGGAACGGGAGGTTAAGTCAAATTTCAGTGAGTTCCAGGTGAGCCAAATATTTTGATTAGTCAAATTTGCCGTGTTTTTGTTTTTCCAATTTGAATTTATGTAATGGACAGAGACTATAGTATCACATTTGTTTTTAGCTTTATAATGCGAATGTTCTGTTTTTGTTTGGGGTGCTGGTAACGGGATAGTGAATTTCATGGTTTCAAATTTGGGGAACTGAGATCAGAGTTCAAGATTTCAGCAGATATGGATGAACATGTTATATTTTGATGCTGGTTCCCCTCAATGTATAAGGACATTCTTATTTCTGATTGATAAGTTGGGATTTTAATAATAAAACATGCAGGAACTGGGATGCTTTCCTGTTTGTTAGGTTGTCATATTAGTGGTAGATTCATAGATTTACTATAATTGTAAATGTATAACAGGGTTTATGTGATTTTCGTAGTACTTCTCATTACCCCAAAATGACAGACTCACATCAAGTGTAACGATGACTAGTAGCCTTCCACACATTACTGAAATTCATAACATTAATTAGACCTCTTTTATTGTCCCAACTAACTTCCTAAACTCCCAAGGATGACCCTTTCCTAGGTACAGCAAAGTTTATAATTATTTGAAGCTTCTAGACCTCTAGACTTATGTGACTCCTTTTCTTGAAACTCTCTGAAGCATTTATTCATTCCTATGGGCTGGGTATTACTTGAACTCCCAGCTTGGGCCTGCTGTACCATGGTCCCACCAGATCAATTGGGCCGAGTATTCAATTTTTCTTAGTCTGGTTATAAACTTTAATGTGGGCCTGATTGCCCATCGAGATGCTGCTGCAAAATCTGTGGTGGTGTTTCTTTAATTTTTGATTGCATTGGCATTTAGTCTTGCACATTTGTTTTGCCTTGAAATGACAGAAATCAGAATTAATGAGGCGATTTAGAGTTGTTGAGGCTATGAAGAAGATTAAAGTAGCAAATCCAATGTTTTATGTGTTCAATTTGATTATATTTGGGTCAACGTTACTTTGCAAACATATTGTAATTCTTATTTTCCCCAATGTCTAATAAAGGATTGGCTGGACAAACATGCTGAGTATGAAGCTATAGTGGATGGAGCTAATATTGGGCTCTACCAGCAGAATTTTGCAGATGGTGGATTCAGTCTTTCTCAGGTTGTACATCTGAAGAGGATTGTTGCTCTCTTATTTTGTCAATTTATACTTTTATTTGATAGGCCCTTTAGTCACGTTTAATCATGACTTATATTTCTGTTCTATATAGAGCAGCTTGATGCTGTTGTGAAAGAATTGTATAATAAGAGTGGAGAGAAATGGCCACTTGTTGTCATGCATAATAGGCGTTTCCGGGGACTTGTGGAAAATCCTTCCCACAGAAAACTGATTGAGGAGTGGATGGATAAAGGCATTCTTTATGCCACACCAAGTGGTTCCAATGACGATTGGTATGAGCCTGCGATCCATTTCTTACTAAATGTTATTACTTGTTTCCTACGTTTATGTTGATGAACTATATCAGCTCCGCTGATTGTGCAAGCTTTTGGTTGAAAGTTTCTCTCTCTCTCTCTCTCTCTCCGGACTTTGGTTGCTCAAAACAGTGACACCAACAACATTCCCCTTTTAAGTGCTCTCTTAAAAAAAGAAGAAAGAAACATGTACATGGAATATTTTGAGAAAAAAAACATGTATTTATGAAGTACCATTTCTCCCTCCAGTGGCCTGTGTGTTCATCACTTTAAACATCACTACTATTGTGCTTGGAACACACAAATTAATTCTTTGATATGACTCAGGTATTGGCTCTATGCTGCTGTGAAGCTCAAGTGCTTGCTCGTTACAAATGATGAAATGCGAGATCACATTTTTGAACTCCTAGGAAGCAGCTTCTTTCTTAAGTGGAAAGACAGACACCAAGTATGTGTTCTTGGACGACCTCATTGAACATATTATTTCATATGTTCTAAACTTATTTATTGGTTTTTTCGTAGTTTTATTTCATTCCGCTCTTTCACACTCTCATCCAACGTATCAGTATAGATGCTATCCCCTTTTTAATTACATTTTAAAACCTAGAAAATAGTTATTTCCTAATATGGATGAGTTCATGTGGTTTTGCATGATGATATGAAACTCTTTGTATTGCTGTCATATTTTTAGTTCTATCAAAAACTGTATGTCCATCTCTATCATGACTTCATAGTTTGAGCTTTTTCATTTTCAGTGCTGGCACTTGTATTCATTCAGAAGTCTTAGGCGTGTCTAACCTTCCTTACCCATCTGAACCAATTGGATTCCGAGCCTCGGCATTTACGAATGGTTCATTTATGTGCATTTGGTTTAATCTAAACCATTACAACAGTCAAATGGTTAGACTTATTGCCACATGAGCTACCTTGATTTTAATGCATTTTTATTTCCAACACTGAAGATAATCAAGGTAGCTCATGTGGCAACAACTCTAACCATTGGATTGTTGTAATGGTTTAGATTAACCCAAATGCACATAAATGCACCATTTGTAAATTCAGAGGCTTGAGATCTGAACCAATCGGATCAGGTTGGTTCTATGACTTGAGTAAGCTAGTACGAATAGCACCCCTTTTTACTTTCTTATACGGAGAAACAGTGGCTGTCAGTTCATTTCAGCAGAAGGAAGATTTTCCACAGTTGCAGTTCTAATCCAAATTGTCAAACTTGTCGATTGCTTCTGTTGTATTGTCTCGAAACACCTAACACTAAATTAGTGAGTTAGCGTTAACTGGTGCATTAGACGAATCCTAAAATCACATGACATGCTAACACAAAGTATAAAAGGGCCGTGTAGATGGACCCTGTTGATGAGTCAAATCACTCGATAGAAAGTTGAGTGGGGTTTATTTAATAGGGGTGCATGCCTGAAGAGTTTGGTTTAGAGATAATAAGGTGAGGCTCAAGGTTTAAGTAAGTGTCAAGGCAGCCTCTCAGAAATTGAACTTTTTATTGTTTTTAAGATTTCAGTTTTTATTTTTTAGTAAAAGATAGGGAGGAAATACTCGGACAAAGAAGGGAGGAGGTAAGGGGAGGGATGGAGTGACAAAATGTATATGGAATGGCACCTAAAGTAAAAACCAAAAACTAAAAACTAAAAGCAACTTCAAATAGTTTTCTCTTTCAAGTTTTTCTGTTACCTCTGACAATCTCTTTGCCTGCAACTCTTCCTCTCTAGAAAACATGCAGAGATGTTTTTTCCTTTTTATTTCCGTCTCTAGCCAGAGTTTTTGTGCTCCCCATATTCTACATTACCATAATTTTGTTCAATCTCAAAGGATGATAACAAGGGAAAATCCTTGTTATGGCATTGGATATTTATTGTCAAAGGAAAATAATGAAACTTGTATTAAACTTTTTGTGGAAAAGAATCACTCCTTATATTAAAAAGAAAAGTTCCATTCTGCCATAAAATCAACAAAATCAATACCACCAGATGTCTCTGCAAATTGGTTTTGTGATACGTTGGATGGTTTCTATTGATTTTAATCTTTTTAATTTTTTTTGAAACCTGATTGAGTGGTCTGTGGTTGCTTCAAATGTGAAATTGATCCATGCACGCCTATCTTTTATGCTATAAGTTCTCATGTATCCTGTTGTACAGGTTCGATATACTTTTGTCAAAGGCAATCTGAAACTTCAGATGCCGCCCCCATATTCTTCTGTCATCCAGGTACTTTTTTAAATATTTCATATTGGTTCATTCTGTTGGCATGTTCTAACTGTGACCTTCTTCCATTTCTATATAATCTGGTTTATCTAGTGTGGTATAGAGCACTGTTGTTCTTCAAAATAAAAAATGAAGGGAGGAAAAAGGACAGTGGCCCTGGCCATGCTGGGGCACCTTTGCTAGGCGTGGAATTTGAGGGTGCAAATAGGAAATTAATGTGGGGACAAAAAACAGAAAATGTTGAATATAGAAATATATTACATACGAAATAGATAAGTTCTTGTCAGATTGTACAAGATAAATCATTCCAGATATTTTGGAGAAACACTTGTATGGGTAAACCTAAAATCTAAAGAATGTTATGAAAACTTGGGTGATTCATATGCATGTTGCTTGGAATACATTTATAGAGTTTATCTTGCGTTGGATATAATGCTTCTAGGTGTCTATTTCTGTGATCATAATCTTTCTGTCATGCTAATGTGAAAGTTGTGAAGACAACCATGTCTTTGTGCTCAAGCTGGAAGGAAATAGTTCTTTTGGTAAAGTTCGTTTAGTCTTCTATTGAGCATCAGTTAGATAATAGGAATATAGTTATCAATTACAGATGATGCTTTAAGAAAATGGCCCCTTGGTTTAAGTGAACTTATGCCGGGCTTGAACCTTGTTATAGATGTCTATGTTCCCTAAGTTCCCTCTAAAATGTCGCCTGAATCGTAAAATTCTGTATTAGTTTGCCTTTTTATCTAAGCTGTTTTGAGTGCTTAATATTTCATTCAAATGTTCTTTAAATAAAAATTAGTTGTGTAATAAAATGATAATCTTCACGAGTTCGGGATTGTTTTAAATGTTCGAAGGCAGAGCGAGGCCTATAAGTGCATCAATTCTTAGTGGTGATTAGTGTTCGTGTGAAGCTGATCCCTTTTACTTTATACTATAGAGTATTGAGATGCCAATCTTTTTCAGGAATCAGAAATTGGATCCTGGCATGTGCCTGTAGCAGATGACAGCTGTCAGGAGCCTGCAAGAACCTGGCTCTGCATTACCCGGCCAAGTGTTTCTAAAGCTTCTGGTGAAGTCTCACATAATTTGGAAACATCTCAAAATGGCGGTGTCTGCAGGAACCTTGAATCACTAAACACATGTACGGCAGAGTTTGTTGCCAGTCACAATGAGAAAACCATAGTTGTGACAGGTAAAAGAAAAGAGAGGTCCCCATCTCCTTCCCAGCTAAGTCTTTCTTCTGCCTAGTACTGTTTGCACAAGTCTTCATTTCCGTGCTGCTTGTGGAGATCATAACTTATGGAAATGGTTGTGGCTGAGTAATATGAGTCTTGGACAAGCAAGATGGCCTGTTATGAGTTATGACAACGACCCCTCGCTGTAACACTCAAGTTTTCAGCCCAGTTTTCCCTTGTAGGGGCAGTGTCTCTGATGTTATACTGTATCACCAACATGCTGCAAGCTTTGTTCCCTACGAAGTTTTGTAGATTTTGGCGCATTATTGATAGTGGACTTGATTGTTACGAATGTTAGGGCCGGGGTGTGATTTGAGTGAGAAATTGCAACAAAGCGGATTCATATTTCCTGCCCTCACTATTTGTTGAATAAAAACTTTTTCTTTGGTTTGCTGAATAAAAGATTTTTTCTTTGGTTAATTGAATGAAGAGCTTTTTGTTCAAGGTTAACCCTTCTTCTATCTTGTAATTTTTAACCCTGCGAGAAGAATAGAAGTTGTCGGCAGGCAGCTGTGTGTTAAGTGGTAAGATTCAGCTCAACTGAGATATGGGTTTCATTCAATTTTAAGGTCGCTGTGTGTTTAGTGGTACGCACATGACTGCGTTCATATCCAATGGTCAAAGTTAGGGTTTTGTTCTTGGTGTAGGACATAAATTGCCTGATAGCTGTAACAAGCTCTCACAAAGTGTCAGCACGGCGGATAGCACTATTATTGATAATGCATGGGTAAAGTGTCGGTACATTTTGCCATTAACATGTCTGTTAACATGACATGTTAACGGCGGTGATTTTATAGGGTACGTTTTGTTGTTGACATAGTATCGAATGCATTTATTTTATAAATATAACGGGTCCATAATCTGCAGAACAGAACCGTGATCTTATGTTTGAACCCAATTGGCACCACCCATCCCCCTTCCGAAGTATGGTCCTTCATTATTCTTAAATCGAGGGTTGTTCGAAGTTCAAACCTAACATTTGTTGCAAACGCGTGGATCGTTAGGAGGTGACGTCGACATGTATCCGATTATGTCAGCAGGCTACCTCCAAATTGGATAAGTAACGTTTGGTGGGAAAAAGGTTGCGTAGCTCAACAGTTAATGCCTTTTTTTTGTCTTTGAATTTTTGTTAGGTACACTGTACAAATACGTCGCCTACGTGGGTGTCACTCCCCCAGAGACGTTCATAGTTTGCCAAATCAAGTTTCATGATGGACGGCGGACGCGACTACTTGCATGTGTATGGGCGGTGTTGCTCTTTTTTCTATTTTCTCGAAACAAGTGATATTTAAGACAATGGGCGGCTGTGCTGAAAAAAGAAAAGAAAAAAGTGTTCATTGTTAGACATCTCACTCACTCCATAGATAAATCACGGTTTAACATATATAAAAACAAAAAAAATTATTAATGTTATAATAAGAAAATTTTATGCATATATGTCAAACTGTTATTTAAAAAAGAAAAGAAAAAAGTATTCATTGTTAGACATCTCACTCACTCCATAGATAAATCACGATTTAACATATATGAAAAAAAATTATTATTAATGTTATAAAAAGAAAATTTTATGCATATATGTCAAATTGTTATTTGTTTATTAAGAAAAACACATCAAAATTATACAAAATAAAATTTTATAGATGCATGTTAGATTGTGATTTGTCTTTAAAGAATAATAGTTTTCACCTTTTACGATGCACTAGGTTAGCTTACGAAGGAAACACTGGTCCACTCTACACCAGCCGCTCCCAAAATGATAGCCAATCAACCACCTCCATAACTATGTTTAAAAAGCAAAAAAATTTCTGCTAAAAAAAGAAACAAAACTTTTGTTTATACATAAAATGTTATTCACCATTTGAATTATAACCCCTTTTGCACCTGTTGTTTCTTTGGTGAGACTTCTTTGTGGTTAATATAAAGCAAAATGTCATTATTCGTCTCTGTAGTTTGTCTGTTTTATCACTTTGGTCTCCGTAGTTTCAATTATGTTAATTTTATGCAGTTTCAAATTCCTTGCAATTTAAGGACACTTTATAAATTCTATCAAATTCTTTCCAATGCCATCCAAAATATACACCTCCACGTCAGTGACATGTACTTACCTAATCACAAATTTGAATGAAAATTTGGACATATCCTTAATTTACGAGGACATCAAATTACAAGAGTCAAATTGCCAAAATTAAAACAACATAGTCGAAAGTGAAAAATATAACAAACTAGAGGAAGCAAAATTAGTTTTTGCACATTAATAATGCCTATCTGCCACCCATGTGAAGAGAAACCTTATGTCTACATCAGTCTGCTCCATCTACTATCTACCCACTGTGTACGTATTCAATGTGTGCTTAGCAATAGTGCATATCCCAGAAGATATGTTTGATGAATAATGTACGCTCCCCTCATTTTCTCTCATGTTTAAGGCATACCTTACGGCTAGCTCACCTGCATGAATCTACTAATAGTTATAAATTATAGGGACGGTGAACAACAAACAGAAACCCAACCACATGGCTCATGCATGTAGGTTAAAGTCATTCTCATGAAAAAAAAAATTAAAAAAGGAAAAG